ATGTTTCTGTTAAAACAGAAAAATATAAAGTAGTTTCCCATACAATACAAAATATGGCTGTTTGTCGTATAAATGAGACAACGAAATCCTTCGTTAGCGAATACGACTCGTACTTGACGGGTTTTTTAAGAAAAGGCTGTTCATATTATTGTTAATTTATTCCTTTTGGACTTTTACCTTAAACGGTAAATTAGGATTTTTTTATTACCATTACGGTTATAGTAACACAAATATCTCATCTTATTTTTATTATTAAACTGTCAAACACCGAGCGGTCACCGGTGACCGCAACCTATTGTTCTTTAATCTTCTATCTTCTATCTTCAGTGGCGTGCACACCATACATGCAAATAAGCAGTGCATACCCTACAAAATCATGGTAAACCTACATAGTCAATTACATAGTGTCACTCATATACACAACATGAATATTTACTGACATCATACAGAGATTTCGTAATTTTATTGATACTTAATTCGGAAAACTGGTAACTAACGCCATCTATTGAAAAAATATTGAAGTACTACAACCACTTTCTACTTTCTTCGATATTGGAGCATTGCGCCAGTGGCGCCGCCACCTCGCTATTGCGTGATGGTGGCGGAAGCATGTACTAATGCTAGCCGGTACAATTTGCTTGTTTTCTCGTGCTGATGTTGGATTTTCTTTTGTTAGGTTGGTAATTTCTATACAACTGCAAAAGCACTGCTTCTTCGTTATCCGACTAATTTAAGAAGTCAACAAAACGTAGCGTTTCTTGACTGAAAATAGATATATTAATTTTGGTCAACTTATTGTTTACGTTTTTTTTGGCCATTTTGTTTTGGTTATGTTTTTATGTGCAAGTGAATAAATTGTAATGTAATGAATTATAATTTAAATGAACTGTTAATTTACCGAAAATTATGTAAAATTATAGCTGTGAGCTCAGTGCTGGTGATTTGTGTTGTTCAATAAATTCAATATGAGTGCGTTGTCCTTATTGTCGTTTGAAGAAGAAACGATAATATTTCCAGAAGGTAATAATTTTATTATTTCTTTTAATAAACTACGATTTGCGATTATAGGTATAGTTTGTTAGCACTGGTTGTGTACCAATTTAATTATTGTTTTTAACATCCAGTCTATCTTGATCTCGCTTTGTACGATTTCTCTATGCATTTAACGGTCAGTTATACTGGTGTCGCATAGCTTGATGTGTAGCGATTTGTACTTCGCCGCTCCAAAGTAGGTACCTAGTTAATAGATTTATAAAATAGATACCGATAGATCTATGTTGATCAACTTTATACACGGATAGTTTTAAAATAATTATGTACCTAATTTATATATACAAATTAATAAAATACTTACTAAACCTAATTACCTACTCAAAACTATGATGTTTCGGGAGTTTTGTTTTCCGAGATTAATGTACCTAGACCAAATTTATTTTTAATCATGTGATACCTTCTGCCTACCCTACTTCAAATCTCTGTGCACGCCCCTGTCTATCTTCTATATATATAAAATTCAAAGGTGATTGACTGACTGACTGACTGACATAGTGATCTATCAACGCACAGCCCAAACCGCTGAACAGATTGGGCTAAAATTTGGCATACAGATAGATGTTATGACGTAGGCATCCGCTAAGAAAGGATTTTGATAATTTCCACCCCCAAGGGGGTAAAAAAGGGGATGAAAGTTTGTATGAAACTTTGTCAGTTTTTAACTGATCGGGTTGAAATTTGGCATGCAGATCGATGTTATGACGTAAGCATCCGCTGTGAAAAGATTTTGATAATTTCCACCCCCAAGGGGGTAAAATAGGGGATGAAAGTTTGTATGAGACTTTGTCAGTTTTAAACCGATCGGGTTGTAATTTGGCATGCAGATAGATGTTATGACGTAAGCATCCGATGTGAAAGGATTTTGATAATTTCCACCCCAATGGGGGTAAAATAGGGGATGAAAGTTTGTATGATACTTTGTCAGTTTTAAGCCGATCGGGTTGAAATTTGGCATGCAGATAGATGTTATGACGTAAGCATCCGCTTTGAAAGGATTTTGATAATTTCCACCCCTAAGGGGGTAAAATAGGGGATGAAAGTTTGTATGAGACATTGTCAGTTTTAAACCGATCGGGTTGAAATTTGGCATGCAGATAGATGTTATGACGTAGGCATCCGCTGTGAAAGGATTTTGATAATTTCCACCCCCAAGTGGGTAAAATAGGGGATGAAAGTTTATATGAGCCTTTGTCAGTTTTAAACCGATCAGGTTGAAATTTGGCATGCAGATAGATGATATGACGTAAGCATCCTCTTTGAAAGGATTTTGATAATTTCCACCCCCAAGGGAGTAAAATAGGGGATGAACGTTTGTATGAAGCTTTGTCAGTTTTACACCGATCGGGTTGAAATTCGGCGTGCAGATGGATATTATGACGTAAACGTCCCTTTAGAAAGGTTTTTGAACATTTCACCCCAAAGTGGGGTAAAATAGGGGGTGAAAGTTTGTATGATACTTTGCCAGTTTTAATTGATGGGTTGAGACTTTGCATGCATAAAGTTACTATGACATAGGTATCTCTTTAGAAAGGATTTTGATAAATTCCACCCCTAAGGGGATAAAATAGGGAATGAGAGTTTGTATAAATTCTTAGCCGTTGAATTTAGAATCATTGAATCTTTTTGAATTACATTCGGTAAAACGATGATTTAGGACCTGGGTAACGTATGATAGTTTTTTCACAGATGTCTCACGAGAACGGGAACTATGCGTCAATGCCCCAGGACTCTCTAACTCTTAACCACTGAATTATTCTAGAGAGATTCGGTACAATAGTCGATAGATAGTTTTTATTACTCAAACCTTACGTGATCGGGCACTGTACTGGTAAGATCCCTGCGGGATTATTTATTTATTGAAACTACGATAAATCATTTCAAAATAGGTAAATCTTACTTGGGCACTGAATTGATTCTGATTAATTCTGTCAGAAGTCATTAATCTACGCGGACGAAGTCGCGGGCAACAGCTAGTTGTGTCTATAAATACGGTACTCGACGAGTTAATACAGGTTAGGTGGTTAGGTATATTACAGTTACGCCCCCTGTTCGCCAGTAAGTAATATATCACTAGTATCATTGTAAATAAAAGTCTTAGTGGCCCAAAGGTTTAAGACGCCCGCTTCTCATGCATGAGGGTGCGGGTTCGTAACCTACCAACAACCAGTACCAAAGTGACTTTTTAAGAGTTATAATACATATAGTACTTTCTAACATTATTTAGACACCACTGACAAACGGTGAAAGAAAACACCGTGAGAAAACCTGGTCTTATAATTTCTAATTATAGTTTGAAATCGATAATCCGCCTTGAGCAAGCGTGGTGATTAATGCTCAAACCTTCTCCGTGTGAGCGGAGGCCTTTAGTCAGTAGTGGCCACTTATAGGCCGATGATGATGATCATCGTAAATATTATGTGAGAGACTAATACTACTATATAATACAGGTGGCTCAATTCTACGAATGACAATTTTGCCATGATCTGAAAAAACCGTAACAGATTTTACAAGTCAGATATTGAACTCGAATGACCCATCACTCGACTTTATGAAGATTAACTAGTACATACAAAGCACAAAATAAGGTCTAAATTTGCGAACGCAGAAATGATAGATAAGTACCAAAAATATAAATATTACTAAGCAAATTGATAACACACTGATATCATTATTCATTATCAATAACATTTGATATCATTAACAACAAATGTTATTAGTCAGATGATAATAATAGATTAATATAACAATACTAGCAGCACTTCATACTTTCATGATTACATTTTGTCGTCGAATCGCCCTTCAGTCGTGATGACAGAAAGCCTTTAAGGTTCCCGAAGACATAAAGAATCTCTAGCAAATAATATGATACCACATGCTCTGTCGATGACAAGTTAAGACAGCACAGTTAAGTAATAATATTATAATTTTAGATCTATTGACGGTAAATGTTTACTAACCCAATTGTTTTTGTCCTTTTCAGCTACTAACAACTAAAAACTACCGCAAAGTTAAAATTCGACGGTGCATTAATCTGCCGTCACCACTCGACACTGGCAGTATATTCAACAACATCGTATTAGAGACTCGGTTGCCAAAGAAAAAAAAAAGTTAAACTAAGCTCAGCAGTTCATCAAGATCTGATATTCATACGAATCTGAGTGCTGATTCCAACATATTTGAACAAGGTCAGAAGATAGCGTAACCTTATCCTCAAGTACCTATAAATGCAGAAATGTTCCAATCGGAATAACTAGTAGTTTTACAAAGAAGAATAAAATAAAACCTCATCTTCTTACTGTCCAACCCAATCTACTTGGGGACACAATGTATTCTTTAACCATTCTCCCCTATCAGACTAAAAAATAAAAATTACGTGGATTTTTTCTGAATTAACTTCACCGGTAACTATACCAGATTTGTTTTATAATATTTATTCTTGGCAAAACCCCGTTAAAGGAAAACAAGGAACCGCATACCGTTATAAATCACTGTTAGAACTTGATTATAATGTCTCACTACAACCATTATTTATTTTAAGTTCAAGGAAAACCTTACAAATACCGTCCCGTACTACTACTTCATATTATTTAATACTACAAAGCTGGTAATATACGAAATATTGTTATTGTCACTAAATACGCTGAATAATTGGTTCCAGCTAATTTGTATGAGTAAACAATACAAGAATAAGTTTATATGTAGTTAGAACGAAATATAAAGGTAAATAATTCCACATAGTGGGATCTAATTACATTAAGTCAGCATTGTTGGTAAATTACATTCCTCAACGCAGTTGTCGTAGGTCGCAACAATTGCCTAAATGAAAATAACTGCACGGTTGACACAGCGACTACGTGATCAACTGCGGAGTAAGCACCGCTCGGCTCAGGTAAAAATTCTAGTGTCGGATAATGTTATAAAGAATAAAGAGTTATACTAGTTCTTACCTTATCACTATCTGTTGGAAGAGTCCCGTAGCCGTACCAACTTCTAGCTGCCTTCAGTCTGGGCTCTTCTCTTGGAGACAGCAGGCCGCTGCCCCACCGGGCCAGCCCTTCAGCCACTGCTGCCACGCTTGGCGTGTTCGGGCTGCCATTTGGAGAATTGGGAGACGGCGCCGATTTCTCAGCGACAGGAGGCAACGTCGGACGAGCACAACCCGTCCGCCTTTCATAAATCCTCTTCAGAGGCTCATCTATATCCGTCTCCAACAACCCTTTCTTATCATTCCCCCTCTTAATCTCATTAACCCTCTTCGTTTCATCTTTCTGAGCACGCTTCGCTTCAGCTTCTTTCCGTTTAACACTCTCATTAGAGTCCTGACGACAAAGTAAAGCCTTTTTCAAACTCTCACTCGAGTCTTGTTTTGAGATCTGACCTTTCTTATCCGACTCCTTACTAGCAGACTTCTTATCATCCTTAGATAGCAGTGCACGTTTGAGGCTATCAGTGGAATCTTGTTTGTTTATCAGTTTGCGAGGGCATTCTGTATTCAGGGAGTCGGTCGTTTTCGAAATGAGTAGTTTCGAGTAATCGTATGGAGCATGGTCATTGGAAGGGGGGTTGAGTTCGAGCGACCTCCTGTTCTTGCGTTTATCCGCTGGTGCGATCTGTGCCTTGGCGGGCAGCAGACGGCGAGGGAGGAGGCTGCGGTGATCAGCGAGGGGAGACTCCGGTCGCAACATCTTGAGCGGCGCTACTGAACTGCCGCGTAACTGCACTCGCCTGGAACAAACAAACAAGTTTACATTAATAACCAGTTCTAACATCAGGACTTTTGTTCTCCAAAGGCATGGAAGAACGTCTCTTAAATAAACAATATACATCAGTTATATTCTTATGAGTCCCATACATACATCAGAAGGGGAGTTCAACTAGTTATTACAAAGCATTTAAAGTTATCTCTATCACGACTTATTACGTAACATAAGAAAACAAACAGTTAATAATCATCATTGTAATCTCATTAAGGCAGTACAGACATTACCGTGTCAATACAATTAACTCAAAGTCGTTGTTCACATAAAACATTCCGTTGTATGTCTGTATGTATGTTGTTATATCACGTTACACAAGTATGTTGGGAACGATGTGAAATGTGTAAACACGGGCTCTGATAACAGCGGGTATCTACAAAATCGTATATGAAACGTCATTTAATTTATATCTTAGAGGTCTGGGTTATCAAGCAAGGTTTAAAGTTTACAAATACAACGTTTCATATGAATTCCAAAAGTCAACATAGGTGTGTTTTGTATCCTCCTTCGTATAATGTGACCTCTATATTAGTTGCTAATGTTACTAGCTTTCCGTCAGAGGCTTTGCCTGTGCCTGACGATTCTGTGGGAACACTGGAGTAGAAACGTCTGTAAAGTTAGTCAAAGTCAAAGTCAAAATCATTTATTTCAATTAGGCCAGAATGGCACTTTTGAACGTCAACAAAACCAAAAATTTAAAGTGAAGCTATTTGCTCATTCCAGGCGTAGATTCCTATGGAGAAGAACGAACAAGAAACTCCATAGGTTACTCTTTTTCAATCAGGTTCACAATACAATTTACTAGTTGAAAAAGTAACCTTTCTAATGGTGTAAAAATTGTGCAAATCGGTGGAGTTGTTTCAAAGTCTATTCAATGCAAACAATGATACTCCTTTATAACATTGATTTAGATTTTAATTTTCAATAATAAAGCACTCATCACTTTATTGTACTTACTTGAATCTATTCTGAAAAACCCACACACAGCAGTTAAGGAAAAACCAAAAAAAAATGTGGAAATCATTCAACATATTATTGATACGGGAATACCGAGTTATATAGAATATTATGTTTAATTTAAGCCAATACTTGGAATCTTAGCTTTTACTTAAATAACAAAAATATCTTGGAATTCGTTTTAATGATAAACATAATTAAAATATCAAGCATAATTTCGTTAGGTAACTCCTGTAATTCCTCGAAGTCGACGTTCAATTACAATAAAACAGGTTGAATCAATAGTAAAAAGTAACCAATAAGAATTATAATATTTTGAAGCAAAAGTCTTAATAATACTTTTCCTTATTCAGGGACTAACCCAATTCGCACTTAAGACCACTCAAATAAAGCATAATTTGTACGGAAACTATTTGGAAAAACACGTAGGACCCAAAAAAAGTCCTTGCGAATTCCATAACTTTTGCCAGGATCTCTATAGGTACTATTCTAATTGACTGATCAGTTAGCAGTTATAGCAGCATTCCAGATTCCAGAACTTTCGATAAATTGTATTTCGAAGCTCGTTAAAATTAGAAACTAGAACATTCATAACCCCATTATACTACTAGGTTATTCCATACAAACCATGTTATTTACTGACACAAAGAACGAACCGTTAACAATGGTCAGTAATGAGGACTTACAGAAACGACTAGCATATATGACATAAGTTAACTTCGTGATTACAGAGTAATGACATGCAATGAAGTCCTTTGTTATGCATTTGCATTGAGAAGACATGTAATTTAGACATTTGCTGCGGCGTTTGCTAGTCACAGTGTCTAGGAGGTAGGAATGAGTTGATTTAGGTAGAAATGGAGCAGAGTAAAATAGCTTATATTTTGTACTGAATATGGTTCGCCAAATTGCAGTAGTAATACGTAGACAGAAGTATGATAGTCTCAATTTAAGCGAGTATAATAAATCTTCTATTACAATTGCACTATCCGTTCCTATAACGAAACTCCGATTAAAACTACCGAACTTTTTGAACTAAATTGGGTGAACACAAAAATCAAAGCCCCAAAAAGGTTCAAAACCCAAAGAATCAATAAACAAAACTTTACACCAACTTGCAAGTAGAATTCTTCGAGAAACGAATCATTAATTTCATCAAGCCTGTCCTCAATTCGCAGAGATGCGACGATTACATTATTCACGTGAACTTTAATTAAAACACTACCCACTTGCCCTCTTCAATTGTAATCTACTAAACTTAGGAGAACATGAGCGAAACGAAATTACGGAGGCGCTTGTTAACTTCTATCTTCATTAATTATAGAGTTTTGTGAATTGCTTAGCAAAAAGATACAAATCTGGAGGATGGAAATCCAAAATAATACATTGCTGCTAGGACTGCAACAGACAGAAGCTGAAATACAATATATTTCTGAGCTTCAGAGTTTCTTAAACCTTTCTAAACATATTAGACTGTACAATAACTATCGTGAGACGGTGAGACATACTAAATTAACTAAAATCGCGAGTTACTCACGTGAATATACTGAGAAAAGCTCTACTAGTTTCGAACCATAGAGGTGTTCTTCCTCATAAGCAGCGTGCGTGGTGGCGGCGACGTCGCGCAGTGAACTGTGATTGTACGGAGTGAGCTGTGATTTTAGTTTATTAGACTGTACTCGACAGGTAAAACCAAATGATCAGCTACTGAGCTAATCATAATAACACCAAAAACATGTTTTAAGCCAAGATACCGACTTCATATTACAAACTAATTTGTGGTTTCGTCTGCTTTAGATAAGGTAACTATGACTTAATGGTGGCTAGCAAGAATGGTGTAGCAATAAGAATGTGTTATAACACAATTGATAAGCGGAGGTAGACGTGTCCGACGTCATGTACGGGGGTGATAAATGAAAGCGTATGAATTTAAAATAGATATTGTTGGTAGAACTGTAGTTTTAAGTGTAGATTTAACAGGGGTTGAAAATATTAAGTACTTTTATAGAAACTGTACTAGGTATCTTGGTAGAATTGATATGCTCTATTGTGACAAAGCGAGGGTTTGGCAGCAAAATTCTTTACTTTATCAAGGGCCTATGTGTGCTTCCCAAATAGTATCTTGTTAGCGTAGGATTGTGTCTTTAACATTCTACTATGCTTCATTGAATTATCAGTGAAGAAATTTGACGTAAAAAGTAGGCATACCAAAGGTCAAAAGGTGTTATTACGTTACCTAGGCATACTACAATTTTAAGATAACGTATTGTTTTGGTTGAAGAATAAGAGTTCTCTAGAAATTGATAAAAGAACCACAATCAATTTAATAACACGAAAATATTCAAATCTAGGTATAGACCTAGATGTAATAATACAAGAACACGTTATCAATAATACATTAATAAAAACACTTCAAGTCAATAAAATTCCACTACTAAGTAAATAGTTATTGCATATTAACTAAGTCACATTGTAGGCTCGTTTTCCTTAATTATCATTTTCCTAGCTTTTACCCGCGGCTTCGCTCGCGTCACAATAGGATAAAAAGTAGCCTATGTGACATATACCAATACACACAGCGCCATCTATACCAATAATTTCGGTTTCCCTCGAGAATATCAAATTTTTCCGGGATAAACAGTACCCTATTATATAATCCAGACTTCTAACTTTACGTCTGCAAAATTTCAAAGCAATCGGTTTAGTAGTTACGGCGTGAAAGCGGAACAAACAAACAAACTCACTTTCCGATTTATAATATTAGTAAGGATTAATCACCTGTAATTAAATAAATATTTATAAATAATAATACTGATTTAAAGTCAAACAGACGATTATACTGATATCACTAAAGAAGTAAAGACTAATAAACAAACTTATTATTACTAAATAACGTAGTGTCGTTGTGGCCCGGAGGTTGAAGACGCTTCTCATACATGAGAGTGCGGATTCGAAACCTACCAACGGCAAGTACTAATGTGACTTTTTCCGAGCTATATGTGCTTTCTAAGATTATTTAGACACCAGTTACAAACGGTGAAGGAAAACATCGTGAGGAAAGCTGGGCTTATAATTTCTAATTGTAAGTTTGAAATCGCCAACCCGCATTGAGCAAGCTTGGTGATTAATGGGAAGAGGCTTTGCTCAGCAGTGAGCATTAACGCTGTTGATTTGTGTATGTGTATAAGTAATATCGATTAAACATTTCGACTAGATACCTATAGGTACGGACCAACGGACGTACGGACTGTAGTAGGTATGTATAAAAGTCAATTCCCTAGATAATATATTAAAAATAGACAGAAAGAAAGAAAGATTGTTTATTTGTAAAACATGCGTATAAATCGAGTAATCATCAGACATGCAAGATGTTAAATAAGTATGTTGTGCGTCCATGTTTCGCCAATAGTGGCGTACAAATTCAGAAACAAATATTGTTTTATTAAGTATCTAAATAGTAACTTATCACCAGTATGTCTACTTAAAACCTAAAGAACTAGCACTAAGAACCGTAAAACCTCTGAACAATACAGTTCACAAGAGTTTCGTAAACCGTCAAACAATACACCATTACAAGAACATAGTAATACAAGAATTAATAACTAAATTATCATGAGAAGCAATCAACTATGCTTGTTTTACATTTATTTCAACACCAGGTTTTGCACACAATTTCGCATGTACGTTAAAATCTCCCGTTCTCAGAGCAATGTTAAAAATAATTTCTCCACATTTCACTAAGTTCTCAGAGAACCTACATATTATGCCGAATATTTTAAAGGTTCTAGGACTAGTTTCAGTTGAGCGTCAATAGCTCAATCTCTCAGTAAAGAGTATTTTGACATTAGTAAAACATACAATCAACCCTGTCATTCCTCGAAAGAAGAACCTCTTTTGTGGACAGAAAATCATCTAATGATTCCCGCCCGGGTGAGCCAAGAGGGAGTGTCAGACTGTTACTGACTAAAAACCACCCCGTTCCTACTCCTGCACTTCGAGCCGGCCTCGGCA